AGCCCGTGCTCAAAAAGGGTTTGGGGAGTTTAGGGTTCAGTAGTACCCCAAACCTCAAACCCTAAGCCCACCCCGAACGTGGTATTGCTACTGCAGCAACGAGGAAAAGAGCCTTCCACAAACACATAAGACTCAGGCCCCCATATTACAAGCACCGTATCATATAGACTGTCACTACATGGGGCGCGGTACCCAACTTCTGTATTTGTTCCTGAGGCTGCCTATCTGGCCGGGTCTCGGCAACCATGACTACGCCAACAACATCGAGGGCTGCAACACTCTCTTGGAGGTCGGCAACCCTGAAGCCGTTAGGGTTTAGGGTTTAGGTGCTCCTGTGGGCAGAGTCGCTGGTGAAAGGGCAGAGCACTGCTGCAACAGGGCTCACCAAGAAGCCTGGAACAATTGCTACAACAACATTTTGAAGGGCTCCTCATGATACTGACACCACAAAATAGCTCCCCAAACCCTGTAGTCTAGCGATTATATAGAATTATGGCGATATGATATATTCCCCAAAAGGCTGAGGTTCCGAGTTCCGGGGCACCTTACATCCTGAATCCTAAGGCATATCCTCGTGAATCCCTTGAAGGGTGGGAACAGGGGCTCGGAGGGTTCTGAAATCTACGAAAATACGGCTTTAGGGTTCGAGATGCATGACGTAATCGGTTTGAAAGATGTTCCTTTGTCGTCATGATATAAACGTGTTAGAATCTGCCCAAAACTTGTTGCGGCCCCAATGCTACTTGTCTGCGGAGTGTAGAGCTCGGGAGATTTACGCGCTAAGTGCTGTCTACGGGTGCGGTCACGTGTAGGTTGGGGGCTCGGGGCTGGGTAAAGTCGCACGTGGAGTCTGTAACGGGTAGCTTCCCCTACTGTCAGGCTTGGGGTTTAGGGTTTAGGGGCTAGGGCTTGTGCCTTACCCCCAGCCTTGCAACCTCAAGGCCTAAGCCCTACGATTTCGAACCCCGGAAACCAAACCCTTCTCCTAGGATCATCACGCTCAAAAACAAAACCTAAGCCGTTTCAACCCGCCAGGATTTCCCCCCCAAAGCCTCACTAGGCAAGAGCGCAAGGCCCATAGCTCCACGAGCCGCACAAAACAAAGTAAGACAATTGTGAGCACGACCGTAGGGGCCCATAGAATCATGTTTCATAACGATACACCCGTTATAGTCCCTCTGTAAAATAATACTACTCCAACGTACGCCCGTAAACCCAAGTGTAGTTACTAAGGCCCCTACGCGATGGTACCGCATGGACCTTAAATCCATACTTTGAGCCTAAGCCTTAAATCCTCAACGCTAACCCCTAACCCCCCAGGTACGTACTATATAGGGTACTAGAGCCCCCCCTAAGGCCCTATATAGTAGGTACCTGGGGGGTTAGGGAACATGATCTTAAGAAAAGGAGCCAACGTGGGCACCCTATGCGATGAACGGCTGTGCTCAGCGAATGCTTCGCGGCCGAGCATCAGCTCCCCTGAAAATGGGGGTCGGGGAAGATTCCACGCGTTTGACGTTGTTAGGAATTTCATCTAGATGCCCCTAAAACCCTAAACCCTAAAACCCTTGTGGTTTGAGGACTTGGCACTAAACCCTAAACCCTATTGGCTGTTTCGTGTGTGTGTTTCGGGCAGGGTATCTTCGGGCTTCAGGGCTTTTGGAGTTAAAGGCTTCGGAGCACTTGTGGAGTTTGCTTGGGGTTGTAGAACCTTGGTTTAGGGTTTAGGGTTTGGAGATGCGAAATTTGAAATAACTTGCGACGGATGCGGATGATGCTCACCGTGTGGTTCGTCCTGTGACTGCTCGCCTTGCTTTGCAGTCAAACGGCTGGAGATGGGAGAATGGAATCAAAACGATTTCCAGCTGATGCTGATGATGGTCGCCCGCGGTTCGCTGAATCCGTCCAATGACTGGGTCGAACTGCTCGCCTTGCTTTGCAGTCAAACGGCTGGAGATGGGAGAATAGAATCAAAACGATTTCCGGCTGATGCTGATGATGCTCGCCCTGCAGTTTGCTGAATCCGTCCAATGACTGGGTCGAACTGCTCGCCTCGCTTTGCGTTCAAACGGCTGGAGACGGCAGAATGGAATCA